GTCTCCGATATAGTACTACTTGATGTCACACCGCTGTCTCTTGGGCTTGAAACTCTGGGGGGCGTGATGACAAAGCTCATTCCCCGAAATACGACTTTGCCAACATCGAAATCTGAAGTGTTTTCCACTGCCGCCGACGGTCAAACTAGCGTGGAAATTAACGTCCTACAAGGGGAGCGTGAGTTTGTCAAAGACAACAAAAGCCTTGGAACTTTCAGGCTAGATGGTATTCCTTCTGCTCCACGTGGTGTGCCGCAAATTGAAGTCAAGTTTGACATTGATGCAAACGGGATCCTTTCTGTTGAGGCTTGTGACAAGGGCACAGGGAAGAAGCAAGACATCAAAATCACGGGAGCTTCGACTTTGTCTTCGGATGAGGTAGAGAGAATGGTTGCTGATGCAGAAAAGTTTGCAAGTGAAGACTATGCGAAACGAGAACAAGTAGAAATGCGCAACAGCTCTGACTCCATGGTATACCAAACCGAGAAACAGCTCAATGAACTCGGTGATAAAATACCTCAAGAAATAAAAGATCAAGTTCTTAAAAAACTGGAGTCGCTGAAGCACGCGTTGGCTACTGATGATGTTGAGAAAATGAAGACTGCTCAGGAAGAATTGCAGCAGCAGGTGATGGCGATGGGTCAGGCCATGTATCAAGGTGGTGATTCAGCAACGACCCAGGGCGAATCTTCTGAAGCACCTGCGCAGGATGACGTCATAGACGCGGAATTCTCTAGCGATAAGTAGTTCAGAGAGTCTTTAGTGAGGCATAGACCTTCTAAGATGAAAATTTAACACGCAAGCCTATTTTTTAAAGCCAACTTAACTCTTTAAATGTGACTCTTTCGCATGCGAGCATTCGTTACCACATCGAAAAAATTTCAGCGTCCTTACTTCATCGTCTGCACGCATCCTCTGTCATACAATGCATCATTGCCGCACCTGCGTGTCTAGAAAACAGCGTCCGCAGTTAGCTTTTCTGTGAACGTGGCAATAATGAAAGCACAACTCGAAATTAGCACAACTCGAAATTAGGCCTATTAAGGCCTGGCCAGCCCGGAAAAATTTATATATCACCGGTTTGGAGAGTCCCTACATGACCGACGAGTCATGAACGGTCAAATATCACAATACATTGCGCATTTTAGCAATATCAGATCATCACACCCCATCTGCTGCCGGGTGTTTTCACCTTGTGTCAACTACCAGCTACGCAGCTCTCTCGTCACTGTCGTCGTTCGCACGAGTGTTCGGATACGACATTATCCGCAGGAAAGCGGCGAGACGACAAGAGGTGACGAGTAGGTGATCCAGACGCCACGTACGGCCAGCCAACAGGCCAGTAGTCGTTCCGTCGACCCAAACGATATCGAATGTTGGTTTTACCAGTGTTTTCTGAAGAATCTGCTCAGCTGCTTGATGAAGATTTCATGTTAATCCGTATGTGTACAGAACCAGGTGAGTATCAGGACTATTTTTTCGCGTCAAAGTAGACGCTGACACTCCTGATGCAACCAAAGTGAGACGCGAAGCTAGCTTGAAGAATCTGGCGGAAACAATCCGTCGCTTGCCTGCGCTCGAGCGTCAGAAGTATGGTCCTAGGTTCTCTAAGGTAGTGCGAAGTATCATTCCTGCTCGTACACTTCAGCTCACGTTCAATAACAAAAGCTGTGTAAATTAGTTCGCATCCATCACGTGACGGCCAGTGTTGTGCACATGAATAGTATCAAAGAACTTGAGGATCACGGAACTCTTATCCTTTTGAAAGACCTTTTGCACCTCGGACGGTGCAATCTTGCACTGGCAGTTGCAGAGCTGGTATAACTTTTTGTTTGTCTTCTTACGTTATGATGAGCATTGTTTCAGCTGTTCAAGGACATAACATGGCTAGAAAACTATCTCCATGCCAAAAGTGTCAGACTTCCGGAAACAGTCATACAAGGGAAACTCCAATACCATATTTCTGATCGATTTCTTCGGAGTAATATTCTTCTTTCGGCGATGCGCAGTCAGGAAGGCATTGGTGGTCAATGTGACTGTCGCATGAAAAAGTGTCTCATTACTAGTAAGCACAGCACAGCCTTTCGGAGGGGTCTAGACGAGGAATCCATCGACACACTCCACGTAAAAGCTCCGAACATCCAGGTACTTGTGTAGCGAGTGATCTGAACACGACTCATATTATCGTAGTCGAACTCTTCAAAAGAGTGGTGGAGGTCTCATACGAGGCTCTCTACATACATGTGCCCATCAGTAAGCTTCCACCAAGATGAACTTGCCACTAATCAGGTGTGAATATGTATGTTCTATACATGTAAGGCGTCACGGTTGTACAGTCATTCGTTGCGAAAGCAATTGTTCATATGCGACGCGACCATATCGTTCAGCAGAAGGTGAGTCTCTCATGCTCAATAGACTCTCTAGAAATTGAAAGAATGGTAGGAGCTATCCACGGTTATACAGTTGAAACGTGTCAAATCAGGCGCGCTACATGCTCTATTCTCTTACTTCCTTTTCAAGCCCTCTAAGGTTCGTACTTCTATGATTCCATGTTAGAGACTGACAGTTATTTCGACAGTCCAGTTTGGGCGCATTACAAAAAATCCCACTAAGAGAGCTGATTTATGAAAACCTTCGGATAGAAGAAGACTTGAAGGTAGTGCAAAATCTCGCGATCAATCAAGGGTTGAATGAACGGCAATTCATATGGCTCTTACTAAGTCGCTACTACACGGACGGTGACTTCAACAAAGTTGAACACCTAGGACAAAAGTTGCCGCGTTTTAGTCTTGTAGAACTCGAAGAGAAATGAGGCATCAATGTTGAATAGTAGGGACATGTCGAAATAAGCGCATGACGGTATGAAGTTGGTCACTCTTTCAGTGGGGACTACGAAAACAGGACGTCACCGCGATGCGCGAAGCGACTGCCGCTTACAAAGGCTAGTTGAAAAGCTAACTCATCTAGCGACCGCTTTGTGAAGTCCACCGATTCAAATAAGTTTAATCTTGCTCAACACAACATACTACACGAGAACGTTAGGCTTTTGATGAAGAAGGCAGAAGAAGCTACGAACCGTGCCCGCAGCGAATGCCAGGGAAGACGCCAAAAATCCGAAGTACAGCAGGGGCGTAGGAACGCCTGCGAGCTGCGCAACCTGGGTACGAAATGAATGGACGAATCGACTCAACGATGTGAATATTTTACCTCCACGAAATTTGGATCAACGTACGACGTAGCGAACGCAGCTTGGGCGGGCAACAACGCTGTGGAACACGACAAAAGACTCGTCAGTAAGGTACTCTTGAACGCACCCGTAACTCTTCAAACATGTTGTAAGCATCACGCGCAATTAGCGCTAAAATACATCTCGGGATCTACGGCTTGACGCACCGAGCGACGCGAGGGCTTTCACCGTCTGCTTCGGTTGGGAGAACTTCGCGGAGGGTTTGGCGGTCACAGCGGTGACGATGCGTTGCTGGCGTCGCGAAGCGGTGGCCTTCCTGGTCGGCGCCATGCTAGAGACGGAGGAGGAAATGCTGTACATCTTGGTGCTGCTTGTACTCGAACGATGAACTCTGATCGGCTTTACACGCTCTTCACGGTCGCGATCGTTTTATCCGCATCGACCGTCGATGATCGTTGGCGCATCATTTTTCCGTTTCTAAAAAGTGACACAACATACCCCAACGTTTGAGTAAATATGTACGGACACAACGAAAATACCAAATTTGTTTGCGCCATGAAGTTCATGCATGGCATGGACATAGGGGTGCATCGCTATACCCAGCATTTCTGGGTACGTACCCACCGTACCATCCGAATGTCCGAACGTACAATACGTATGGGCAAACAGTTAATAAATGTTGCCGACCTGGGTACGCCGGGTACGAGCTGCGACGCGATCGCGCCCAGAGCCGCGTGAGGGGCGTCGCCGCGCGCTCGATCCAGAGCGCCGCGCGAAGACGCCGCGTCCGGGGCGTTCGCGTTGCGACGCTATGTGTTGTGTACGGATCCAAACGTCGTACTCAACGCACGCTGCGTCCCATCGAGCTCCATCGAGCGAATTTTGTAAACCGACGAGCGAATGATCACTACAATATGTGATCGTGACCCGTGGAGCCATACTGCGGTCCGAAATCGATACAAGTAAGCGCTGGCGCGTGGTCACCATACGATGTTAAAGACATTGCCTTTAATGCCCGCGACGTGAACAATGTATGTATTGACGAGTCAGGAACCGGAATTACCCCCCCCCCAAGGTATATGGATTCGTTGGGAGCTGATTTTCTGGACCCGCGCGCCGGCGCCGTCCGAGCGGTCACTCGAGGGCGCGTCGTGAGTATTAACGTGCCTTTGGTACAAACCTCTCGTTTCAACGCTCGCGGTAGCGGGTCGACGACGCGCGGCGCGCGGCAAATTTCGGTAAAATCGCGCAGTTTCCGAGCCGCACAAATTTCCGAGCCGCAAAATGTATGGGAAAAGGTAGTTTTTGGACGACGGAGAACGCTGTAGACGCTTTCAGACGGCGAGATCGGCAGTGATTGCTGTCGTCACTGTTTACAACGTTCGTGCGGCGTCGAGGCAGGTGGGGTGAAGATGTCGCGCAATTCAACTGCATCGGTCACTAAAGATGCATTCACGATGCCACATGGAGATACGTCAAAAATCGGTCACGCTGCCCCGCACGACAGCTTGCTCGATCGCCTGACGCGGAGTTCTCGAACGCGCGAACTTCTTCCGTCGTTACCGCGAATCTCGCGCGCGCCGTCGAGGCTCGAGCGGTCGCACTGTGGAGACCAATCGATGAATCACATCGCACGCAATCACATCAATTTGCACCTTAACGCGCGTTGCGACGCCGAATCGCGACGAAAATCGCTCAAATTTGGAGAGGAAAGTGAAAAAACGTCGACGAATCGATCCGCGGCGTGAACTCGCGCCGTGTATTCCAAACCCTAGAAAATAGGGTTTACGGTCAATATTGCTCGCCCCAGCGTCGCGCCTCCTTACGACGCCGCGACGCGCGCGCGCGACGGGCAGACGAAACCGTTCGCGTCCGCGCTCGCGCTCGCGCTCGCGCCGTCGCCGCGCGCGGGTCCAGAAAATCAGCTCTCCAACGCATCGCGACTCGTCGCGTCAACGAGGGGTCTTCGACGGGTCGTGACTCGCGTTTCTCTCGCGTACCCCCTCGCCGGGATTTTAGAGCCCCCAAAAGAGGTCGATTCACGACTCGTCGTGTGCGCCGTGTCAAAATCCATATACCGCGGGAGGGTCGCCGACCCTCGAGTTACACTCTTCGGGTATGGTGACAATAATTGAATTTTAGAGTCGGAAAATCTCCAAAACTCCAAAAAATTCTCTAAAATTTGCCAAAATTATAGAATTTTAGCAATCTCTTCTTCAGCCTAAGAATAAGAATAAGCTCAGCGGAATAGTCCGTGATCACGGGTCAAATAATTCGACTCGAATTAGACCGACCCGAAGTACAACATAGACGACAGACGAGCTGAAACACAAGTCGACAACCTCACGCGGATTTTTTCGCGGTGCTGGTTTGCTGGTGGTCTACGACACCTACGACGGCCCACAGCGCTGTAGTCTGCTTCGAACGTTAGACGAAGCGGTTCGGAGTTCAACACGTCAAAATACCGCAGGGGGACTGTGACACTGCCAGACCTGATCATCACGCAAGTATTTGTCTTGATATGTCCGGTTCAACGATATTGAGAACATCTGCGGTTGTCCCTGGGAAGACTCGGAGAACCTACGTCTCATCAAAATCCGCTCAAGTCGTCGTAGCTAAGAGGGCGGAGACTCTTGCGCCACATCCACGTTGCTCTTATCCTTGTGGACACTGCCGTGCGTTGCCGACCTCACTAGGTATCAGTTCAAAGGATATAGAAGACGTGAGGTCAACGAAGACGTCGGAAGTTATATCGTCGGACGTCAACCTTCGGTTCGGGAGTGCGAACTGGCATCGAAATGGAAGGTCCTTGGTAGAAGAAAAATACCCCCACAAAAATCTGCTCAACTCAGCATCGATCCCAGTTGTTGTATCGTTCGCTTCTGCGTTCAGTGATTTGAGAGGTAACCACGTGTTTCTGTGCGCGTTTCTTAGCTGGCTGGTGGCACAAGTTGCAAAGATATTCACTGCATACTATCGCGAAGGCCGCTGGGATTACAGGGTCATGTTTGATAGCGGTGGCATGCCCAGCTCTCACACGTCGCTTGTAGTTGGATTGACAACTTCTATCGTGCATCAGCACGGCCTGGGGAGTGTGTATTTCCCACTAGCGCTCGCATTTAGCTTGATCGTGATGTATGATGCGGCGGGCGTGCGGCGGCATGCCGGTAAACAAGCTGAAGTGCTGAACAAAATTCTGGCGGACACTTTTCATGGTACTCCCCTCAGCAACACCAAGCTCAAAGAGGTGTTGGGTCACAGCCCTTTGCAGGTTGTGTGTGGCGCTATCCTTGGTGTATTTGTGAGTTCATTCTATATGCTCAAATTTGGCTTTTGACACTTGACGAGCAGGTTTCACACTGACAAGTGGTCTACAACAGATGACACTGGAGTACGGCAAGCACCGGAGCACAACGCTTCATGGATATCAAATACCCTGTTCACTATTTAATTTTCATGCCTTCTGCATCATGTACTCATCAACATTATGACGGCGTTTGTCTACGAACTATCGCGAAACGGTATCACGCGTTAGCATTTAGTGATGAATGAAGCGCCTTTCTTTGATGTATTATTTGAGCTAAGGCCGACTAAAAGCACCGTTGATAACTTTGACCATAACTCCGACTTAATGACAGAGTTATCGCCAGTGGGACTAACAGCAGAAGGGTTCGATAACTTTATTCCCCGAGTTATGAGAAAATGACTAACAGCTCATTTTCATAACTTTTCGTAACTTCGTCGCGCTCACGAGTCGTGAACCATAGCGTCGGACTTTGTGTGATTAAAATTAACGGGCATTTGGGCAAACTACGCGAGTTATCGTCAAGGGGTTAACAGCTGATTTCGATAACTTTTCCATAACTTTGACCCCCTCCTCATTAACTCTAGAGCTGACTGTCAAAAGTTATTGACAAACCTTAATTTTGACGATAACTTTCCCCGAAGTTGTCGTCAAAATCACGTGATTTCAATAACTTTATGCGAATTTCGGTACCGGTACTGTTACCCCCATTTTTTCGATAACTCGCCGATAACTTTGGTTATGTCGGTGCTCTTAGTCGGCCTTATAAGGCCGACTAATAGTACCGTTAGTCGGCCTAGCTAATAACTTCTGATGAGAGTCTCTTCGGTTTGGCGACGCGAGTGATGCGTCTAGAATCAATCTCAATTCGCGTCGAAGCAAACACATTTCCATGGTACGCGCGCAGACGATCGAATGAGGTCGTGGTTAAGCTGCTATAATTCTCTAAATGGACTTCTGAACGAGCCCAGCGGCACTGTCCCAGGCAGAAGCGCTTAAAACGTCAGCGATTGCTTTCGAGTCCCGTGTCACAATCTTATCCGCTACACCATACTGGATCGCGTCTGCAGCTGTCATATAGAGTGGCCGCCGCATATCCTAAGAAAAAACTATTGATACCCGAGACTTGAAAATCAACAGTCAGCAAGCTCACCTTGTCCAATTTTTCAACGCTATGACCAGTCGTCTTACTGAGAACGTTCAATAAAGTTTTTTTCTGAGCCAGTGTTTCGTGCCATTTAATGTTTAGTTCAGTGGCTTGCCGTTCTCCAGTGGACGGCACACGTGGTTGATGCAACATCGCTGTCGCATGTGGAGTCATAAAACGTTTCCCCTTATCCCCTGCTGAAAGGAGCACGCACGCCTGACCCACAGCAACACCAGTACCCACTGTGTAAATCTGCGCAACGTAAACTAATAAACAAATACGTATGTTCACATCGCACCTCATTCCCGATATACTTCATCGTGTCATAGATGGCCGTAGCTTCAGTTTCAAAACCCACAACTTCACCGTCTGCACGAGTGCAACCTGTGGAGTTGATGTAGATGTAGCATGGCTTCTTTTGATCTGCATACTGCAGGTAGAGCAGCTCGGAGACAATCAGCTCGGTAACAGCAGGCACAAGCTATAAAAAATCAGTTTGGTTGAATGACGACGATATTGACTACAGTTACCGGCATGCCAATGTAAACGATACGACTGTCAAGAAGCAGTGAGGGTAGATCAGGAGGAGGAGTTTTGGGCTTATGTTCATTGTACGAGGTCCCCGGATTCGCGCTAGCCGGCGACGTCGAAGCGATTGGACTCGCACATAATCTCTTTCGCTGGCGTTCTGGCAAAATGTGACTTCCTGTCGTGCGTCTACCGGACGAGACGCGCCACACTTGGGTATGCGACGTAGCAGACAGCCTTCTGTTCAGGGCTTGCCGAGAGCTATATATTCGACTATGCTGGAGCAAATGCGGAAGCAAGAAAAGCGACGGCATCTGTAGAGACTGTCGTGCGTGTGTGGAACCGTCGCTTTGACGCAGTACTTCGTTCTCGTCGTACCAAGCAAAAGACCTGAAAGCGACCGAGTGAAAGCCACTTACCCGCTAGTTCAGTTTATGGCTAGAAGCATTATCACTATATAGGCCTGCTTGGCCTGATACGTACTGATACCGTATCAGCGTATCATACTTTTCATATGGGCAAACAGTATGAAAATCGTCGATTCTGATACGTATCAGGAAATTCCTGATACATGTCACTTTTGAGCTCTCAATATGTGAGGTTGCGCTCTGTGACGCCACAGCGGCGCGACGCCGCGCCCAAACGGCGTGAAAATAGCAAAAAGAAGAGACGAACGACGCGCGCGCGGGCGAGGGGGTGCGACCGGGGTTTAGGCGTTGACGGGTTCGCGCGAGTTTGAATCTGAATTCTCACGGCTGAGCACTCGCGCACGTACTTGCGCGCGGTAGTCGTCGACGCTCGATGTCAAGCGTCGACGAAGCGGGCGTCGCGGTGATGAGCGAAGATGGCGAAGCGGAAAACGGCGCGCGCAGCGCGCGCTGCGCGATGATCAGGCGAAATTCGATGATGCATGGAACAAGAGGAAGCGGGTGCTCAAG